AAGGGACACCAGGAGTGAAGGTGAGCTCCTTGGGTGAGCCCATGGAGCTCATGGTGAATCACAGAATCTTCTGGGTTGGAAGGGACCCACAAGGATCATTGAGTCCAGCTCTTAAGTGAGGGAAGGGCCTATATAGGGATCAAACCCACAACCTTGGCCATATTAGCACCGTGTTTTAACCAACTGAGCTAATCTCAGTGACATACATGTGTCCCCACACAGCTGGGGCAGAGCTGATCAGCAGGAAGGGACACCAACAGCCAAGGTGAGCTCCTAGAGTGAGCCCCTGGAGGTCATGGTGACACACATGTCCCACACAGCTGGGGCAGAGCAGCTGGAGAGCTGCTCAGCAGGAAGGGACATGGGAATGCTGGTTGGCAGCTGGCTGGATGTGAGCCAGAGTGTGCCCAGCTGGGCAAGGCTGGTGGCAACTTGGCCTCTATCAAGAATAGTGTGGCAGCAGGACCAGGGCAGGGATTGTACCCCTGTGCTGGGCAATGGTGAGGCCACACCTTGAGTCTTGTGTTCAGTGGGCCCCCTCACTACAAAAAGGACCTCGAGGTGCTGGAGTTTGTCCAGAGAAGGGAATGGAGCTGGAGAAGGGTCTGGAGGACAAGTCTGATGAGGAGCAGCTGAGGGAGCTGGGGGGGCTCAGCCTGGAGAGGAGGAGGCTCAGGGGGGACCTTCTTGCTCTCTACGACTCCCTGACAGGAGGGTGGAGCTGGGAGGGGTCGGGCTCTTGTGCCATGTCCCAAGTGAAAGGACAAGAGGAAACAGCCTCAAGTTGCACCACGGGAGGTTCAGATTAGGTATTAGAAGTAATTATTTCACTGTCAGAGTGGTCAGGCCTTGGAATGAGTTGCCCAGGGAGGCGGTGGAGTCACCATCTCTGGGAGTGTTCAGGATGTGCCTGGATGTGGCACTTGGGGACATGGCTTAGGGGTGACTGTGTTGGTGCTGGGGTGATGGTGGGACTGGATGATCTCGAAGGTCTCTTCCAACCTCGGTGACCGCATGATTTCAAAATGTTATGACCTGGAAGCTGAGAACTAGATACAAGACTCCTCTACTTTTAAGTGCGTTTTTCAAGAGCCAACCTAAACCGTGGTGACCTCCATGGGCAGCAGCAGCAGCAGCAAACAGGCTGTGCTTTGCTTGCAGAGGAGCTGAGGCACAGCATGCCCAACCTGGCCCGGAGCAGCCTGCGCGCGCTCGACTCCGTGAGGAGCAGTCGGAGCCTGGAGTCCGACCTGCAGGTGCCCAGCAGCCGAATTCCCAGGACTCAGCAGCGGTCAGCAGGTCAGTGCCACATCTCCCAGATCCGCCTTCGTCCCCTTTTCCCCTCTTGAACCGACCTGAAGTGTTTCTGCTGCTGTGTTCCCCGGGCAGGTCTGACTCCCAGCAAGCTCAGGTATTCCTCGGGTGCCGGGCAGTCCCCGCTGACGGTGCGACAGCCCGGGAAGGCCGGCTCGGGCACCAACTCCCTGCTGGCCACCAGGCAAGCGGTGAAACCCTGCGGCTACACGGCTCCTGGCTCTGCAGTCAGGAAGCCACAGGCCCCTTCGCTTCACACGGGCTCTTCCAGCACCAGTTGCACTTCCAGAACCACCACCATGGTCACCGTGGCCAAAAATTCCGCCCTGAAGGCACGGCCGGCCGGCGGAGGGATCGCGGTGCCCAAGGGAAAGGCAACGCCGCCGTCCAGGAGGTGAGTGGGAGCTTCAAACCTCGTGGATTCCAGTGCCTACCTTTACTTCACAGATTAGGAAAACTTGTTTATAAATCATGGAATGGGTTGGGTTGGGTTGGGAGGGACCTTAAAGATCGGCTGGAAGTAGCCAAGACCAAACCTTCCTAAAAGAAAAACTCACTCGGGAGATACCAGGTGAGCCTGGCATGGAAAGGCTCCAAATGAGGAGGGAAGGGAGGAAAAGGCTGCATCCCTCAGCCCCCCAGAAAACACCACGGATCCAAAGAGCCCCTCAGCAGGGCCAGGAGGGGTTGGCAGCTCTCAGGGATGGAGCACAAAGGTGAGTCAAGAACCACAGACTCCCAGACTGGTTTGGGTTGGAAGGGACCTTAAAGCCCATCCAGCCCATGGCAGGGGCACCTCCCACTAGCCCAGGTTGCTCCAAGCCCTGTCCAACCTGGCCTTGGACACTTTCAGGGATGGGGCAGCCACAGCTTCTCTGGGCAACCTGTGCCAGGGCCTCCCCACCCTCCCAGGGAAGAATTCCTTCCTTAAGTCACTTCCATCTCATTTTCTGAAGTGGGATGTGGGTATGGAGCTGGATCTGAGCTACTGAATAACTTTAGATGGAATCACAAAATCATGGAATTGTTAAGGTTGGGAAAGACCTTAAAGATCATCAAGGCCAACCCATCCCCAGCACCTTGTTCACCACTAAACTGTGTCCTCAAGTGCCACATCCACACATTTTTTGAACACTTCCAGGGATGGGGACTCCACCACTGAGAGTCCACCCTGGGAACTCTGTTCCAGTGTAGGATTGTGGCTGGGGACCCTCAAAGACAGGAAAGGGCTCAGCTTGGAAGATTCTTGGCCAGTGAATCAAGAAGCAAAGGGTCCCAGTCCCTTAAATACCTCAGACATTAAATTTTGTGTGAACTGCCAGGCTGGGACTCATCACTTGGTGAGAGATACCCCTTTTACCACATAATCTCTGAGCAAACCTGTCAATATCAAATCCATTTTAAAAAATAAATGCTTTTTTTAAACAGAGGTGGTTGCCGGGAAAATGAAGAAGCTCAAACTGATTTGTGTTAGAAATGAAAATGAGCATTATGGCACATATTTGGTGCATACTTGTATTTTTGGGAAGGGGAAAAACCCTTCCAAAGGACTGTTAACAAAATCTTCCCAGCTGACCTACTTTGGTGCCTCTGAAACTGCCTCTGGTAAAATACATGTTGGTGGTTTTTTTATTTCCTTAGTCTTTAGCCAGGTCTGTAGGTTGTCCAAAGCCTAATCAGGTTTTAGAAGGGTTTGAAAAGTGGGACAAATGAACAAGGCTTGATTTAAACATGATTTATACCACAGGGTGAAAGCAGAGCACGTAGAGTGGTGGCCAAAACCTTACAATTTTTGCTCTTGTTGCTATTTTTTGCAGCTACAATTGTACAGCAGAGTTTCATGATTGAGGGAAATTAGGTAGATTCAGACTTATTATTATGAAATGGCTGATATCAGACTAATAAGCAAACAGGGTTGCTTGTTTTATGTCCCATTGCAGCCTTAAATTGAAATGTGTCTACTTTCTTTAAACACACATTAAAAAGAGAGCTTTTAATCTCGTAATTTGTAGCAGCACTCTGCAAACCTGATTATTTTTCATGTGTTCAGCTGTATTTGCAGGGAAAAAGTCTTTCTCTTGGGCTCAGTGATGGGATAAACCCCCAGTAAAAGGTGTTGGTGACTTGGCAGGATCACTGTCAGTCACTGAATTCCCCTAAACTGCCTGGAATTGGTGCTGCTGGTGCCCAGGGTGTGCCAGCAGCAGTTCCCCCGGGGCAGGGAGATGGTGATGGTGGTAAATCCTCAAACCTGTGGCCATCACAGCTCACTGGGGCTTGGCTTGAGCTGGTTTTTTTGTCCCAACCCAGGTTCCTTCAGTCGGCACAGACCCCCCCGGCCCCCGAGGACGACTCCTGGAAGGATGGGTGCTACTGACCCCCAAGACCTCCGTGGAGCAGAGCCCCAGCTGGCTGGGCATCACCTCCCTGGGCAAGGAGCCTCCAGCCCCCTCTCCCTGCAGACTCATGTACATATTCCTCAGATTCCTGGGAAGCAGCCCCACCTCCTGCTCTGCCAAGAGCCCGACCTCGCCGCGCTGGGACCGGCAACGGCTTCGACCCACCACGAGTCTTCCCAGGAAGACTGCAAATGGCCTTATTTCATCTGCCCCCCTGCCTGCAGCCCTTGGGAAGGTCTGTCACCCCCAACCTGGGCTGTGACCCTGCTCCTGAGGGGGCTGGGAAGGCTGGGAGGGTCCTCTCTGTGCCGGGAAGCAGCTCTGAGCCAGTGCTGTGGGGTGGCAGAGCTCGGGGAGACTAGAAATAGTGACATAGGTGTTAGAATTAAGACTTTTTAAATCCAACCTGATGTGCTCTAATATTTGTCTGAAACTCAGCTGGTTTTTGGTTTGTTTTTTTTTTGGTTGGTTGGTTGGTTTGTTTTTTTACTTCTGTATAGAATGTATTTCTGCTACTTTTTATGGTTTGGTCTAGAGCTGCAGCAGGTTTTTATAACTGTAGAACACTTCAAACTGTTGTATGCAGGTGTCAGCACAGGCCACGAGTGAAGGAGCAGTACACAATATTTGTGTGGGGTGTGAACAGGCAGGGACAGGGGGATGCCAGTTCAAAACTGCTGGTTCCCAGCACCACCTTACCTCAGCTGAGAGGAGGTTACCACCAGGTAAGAGCAAACTTTTTTAAAAAATAACCCTCCCTGACAGCTTTGGCTTGAAGGGTTTGATCTCTCAGCTGGTTCCCAACTGCCCTGACTTTTGTAGAAGTTTTTTACTGTCTCTTAAGGATTCTGTTCCAGTGTCCTTTCCCTCAGCAAGTGCTGGATGCTCCAAACACAGTCTTAGTCCAGGAAATATGCACTGATAGCAACATTCTCCCTGCCATCAATGTGACCTTGAAATAGTGTAGTTTAATAAAATGTTATGGTGCTGAATGAGATCTGCTTTTATTCCAACAGCCAGCCTGACTTGGAGTGAGTTTTGTGCCAGGAATGAGGCTTTTCCTGACAGGTTGGACTCTCTTAGAGCTCTTCCTGGGTAAACAGGGCTCCATCCAAGTCTCTTAGGATGCAAGGAGTGAGATTTCCCTTGAATTCCTTGGAGTTCAGAAGGACAAGGTGGGTGTTGGCAAAGGAAAACTTAGGTTGTGTCATTCCCAAAACATCCACACGTGGCCTAAGCAGAACTAAATCCAGGGAGTTCTGCCAGGGCCCCTCACTGCAGAGATCACTTGTGATCAAGGAAAAAGAGAGGTACAGACAGTTGGTGGTCCTGTGTCACCCAGTCACATCACCTATAGGGACAGTGCCACCACTTATGGACTTTTACAGGGCAGAGAAGAGGCACATGAGCCTCAACTGCTCCTTCTCTGACTCCAAACTTCCACTGGTTTTACACCAAGAGCTCAGGAGGTTCCCAGCACTTCCCTCTTTGGGCTCTTCCTTTATGGAAAACATTCTTTCCTAAGACTTCCACTGGTGGAACCTATTCCCATTGATCTTGCCTTCCCAGTGCACTGAAAGGTAAAAGAGCAGCAACATTTCTCTTTGATTTCTGTACTGTTTGAGGCAACTCCTGTTGCCTTTATTATATTCCAAAGGTGGGAGCACACTGGTGTTTTCCAGGCACTGCCTGAGTTGAGAGCTGCTCTTTTTTATGGATCCTTCACACCAGATAAATGAACACCAGATAAATGTTAATGATTGAAGGTGATACTCTAGTTAAAGCCTGTCAGGCAGGTGGGATGGTCTCTGCAGCCTGGATGGCTGTGGAGAGCCAGACCTGGATACACAGTTCCTGAGAAGCAGAAAGGTGCTGAGCTTGGATTCTGCTTGGATTCATGGGAATTTTAAATACAAATCTGATGCTGACCAACACTTGGAAGCAGCTTCGGGAGGGGAACACTGAGCACCCATCCCCCTAAGGAGCTGTTAATTCAGGTTTTCTCATTCCATTTTTCCAAGCTGTTCTCACCCCCAGTGCTCTCCCTTCAGCCTCCAATATTCTCCAGCATCCTGAGCCCTGGCTGATAGCATTAAAATGCGACCAAGATAATAATCAGCAACTCAAGCAGTTCCTGCAGGTTCCAGAGGAAATCCAACTCCCTCATCCTGACACACAAACCTGCTTCCCAACCCTAACCCGGCATTCCCGAGGTAGGTGGAAAGGCTTCCACAAAACTAAGGAGCTCTGCTTTCTGTACAGGAATTTTATTGAAATCAATCAAGTTACCTTTTGTTTTTACACTAATGCCTCAGTGCATCCTTTGAAAGGAAAGGAAGGATCTTTTTTTTTTCTTTAAAAATTGTTTGTACATAAGACAAGAAATCATGGAAATGAACAGGATTAACACCAGGCCCCCTAAACATGCACAGCTGTACAGGGGCTGCAGGAGCTGAGGGGGGGCTTTCTCCAAGCTTTACATTCCATTTACAGGGAGAGAAGCAGGTGCCAGTGGCCTCTCTCACTGGGGGGGGGGGATCAAGGTCCCATCACCCTCGGTGAAGTTTGGGCCCAGCAGAACACAAATCCAAAGGAGCTGTGAGTTTAGAGGAGAACTCTTTCTGTGGGAGCTGCTGGGAAGCTCCAGGGTGGGTGTGACAGTGAAGGAGCAGCAGTGTCACATCACCCCCCTCCCTGTGTCACCAGGACCCCACAGCACCAACCACGTGCTCCAGCTCAGTCCCCAAATGAAGCCACCCCTTCCTCTACCACCACCCCAGCCCACTCCCCTGGGATAAAGGAAGCAGATGCCTTTGGAGCCCACGTGAAGGGTGTTTCTGGTTCTTCTCTGGGACAGGAGCCCATCAGCTCCAGGACAGAAGTGTGGAAACCACTCCCCCAGGAGCCAGGCCTGGCTGGTGCTTCAGGGGAGCAGCTCAGACAGGAATGGCCCAGCTGAGCCTGCTTTTGGTTCTCAGCCTTGGGTTTGGTTTGAACTCTTCCCAGAGGAGCCCATTCCTGCCTCCTCTGACAGAGCCTTTCTCCCTCAGAGTCCCCAGGCAGCACCTCCAGCCCTTCTCTGTCCTGTGGTTTTAGCACTCACAGGAGGAGAAGCACAACCAGCAGCTCCCTGACACCTGATCAAGCCAGAGCAACAGATTGGCCCCCAAATTCACCCCAGCCAGTGCCAGCATTGTACTCGTTCCAGTCCACCCTCCAAAGAACAGCAGGAGAAATAACCTGGGAGAAAGCAGATCCGTGACTGCGGCCAGAACCACGTGCAGCCGCCTCCTTTACTGTGCCCACCCAGCCACAAACCAAGGGGGAGATGAGGAAGAAGTGAGGATGAAGAGGCAGCCAATCCAAACGCTGAGGTGACCCCCTCCACCTGCAGGAAAACTCCCCAGGAAAAGGGAGATTTCCCACCTCTCAGTGCACAAAGCCCCATTCGTTTTGTTCCCACCAGGATTAGAGCCGTGACCTTCCCGTCTTGAAGCACTGAGAGCCACCTGTGGCCAGATGTGCATCTCCAGGAACTGTAGAAACTCAAACCATCTCGTCCCTGCCCTGTTAGTTTGGCTCAGCCCCCCCCAAACCACCCTCTGGCTCCATCCTCACAGGCAGGGCCAGGCCCGTTCCCCATCCGAGTGCAAAGCCACAGTGACACAGGGAAGGAAGGGATTCATGGGGACAGGAAAAGGAACAAAGAAATCCCTTCAAGTAATCCAGCCCAGCCCACTCTGGAGGTCACAGCTCCTTCTGGGCCCCTCTGGGGTGATAAGGCAAAAAGTCTGAAGTCCTGGAGGGATGGAGGGATGAGGAGGTGGCAGAGGTGACGGGTGAGTTATTCCGTAGGTTGCTTCTTCACACTCCTGGGACTCATCTCCAAGGGACCAGCAGCAGCTCTGGTTATTTCTGCACACAGCTGGGCCAGGCCAGCCCACCACACACCGCTGAGAGGATGATGTAGAGGATCACCTGGGGAGGGAAAATGGGAATTCTGTAGAGAACGAGGGATTTCCATCCTCCGCTCAACTGCCACACACCTGGAAACTCCAGTTACCAAACCCCTAAAGAATTTGGCCAACACCCTCCTCCCCCTGCCCCTCCCTGCAGCAACACGTGGATCCAAGGACAGGTTTTGGTGTTTTCCAGAGGCTCTCCAGACTTCCCAGGTTCTCCACACTTACAATGGACACGATGATGAGGACGATGGTGAGCTTGAGGTTCTTCATGCACATGGCCCGGGCGAGGTTCCTGCTGGTTGTTTTGAAAGTGACTGACTGCAAAGGAAAGGAAAACAAGGAATTCATTCCCAAAGGAAGCTGGATCCCAAGAAGATCCATGCTTTTCCCTACTTCCCCAAACTGGGGCAGTTTTCTCCTCCAGAGCCATTTAGCTCCTGCACAAAACTGAACAGGCAGCAAGAGAAACTCTCTCACAGCTCCAGGGACAGGATAAAGTGTGTGAGTAAGTCCAGAGCCAGCTTGGAAGGATTAAACATGGAATATCCCCAGGTCTGGGGGCTGCCCACAGGGATTGGTCTGTCTCAGAGTACTGGTGGGGTTCTCATCTCACTTCTGACCTTTTGGGAACTGAAGTGCTCCAAAATATTTACAGATCCACTGATATTCCAGGGGTTAATCAGTGTAAATACACCTGCCAAACTGGGACAATCCATAGGGCCACTCCTGCCAGCCAAACCCCAGGGGTGAGACAAGTCCTTCAGTGCCAGAACATTCCTCCAGAATTTGGGCCTCCTGCGTTTCACAGAGTCACAGAACAGTCTGGGTTGGAAGGGACCTTAAAGATCATCTTTTCCACCCCCTGCCATGGACAGGGACACCTTCCCCTAGCCCAGGTTGCTCCAACCTGGCCTTGGACACTTCCAGGGATGGGGCAGCCACAGCTTCTCTGGGCAACCTGTTCTGGAAAGCCTGTGGTTGTCCCATTCCAAGTCTCCTCTCTGTATCCTGCAATTCCACTCCTTCCAAATAGCTTTTGGTCACCAAACAACCCCAAACACCCACCAGGCTGGGTCAAGGCAGGGATTCCTGGGATGCTCCTGTCCAGGGAAAGGCAGCAGTGGCTGGATCCAGCCAATCCAGCAGCTCACTCTGCTGGGAATTGCCAGTTTTCCCACAAACCACCCCTTGGGCAGAAACTGCATCCCTGTGAACTGCACTCCTGACTTAGAGCCCATTCCCAGGCTGGAGATAATCAGCCCTGGATCTCCCAGGACACTCAGGTAGGACATTCCCACTGGACCCATCCCATCCCTTCATTTCCTGCATGGTTTCCAAGAACCAGCACTCCCTGGGAGAGCTCCCATGGGAATCCAGCCCAACTCCTGAAGGAATTCCAGTCCCTTTCCCTAAAGCATTCCCACCCGAGGACCTGGCAAGGTTTGAACACCTGGGAGCTGGAGGACAATATTCCTGCTGGATAAGCTCCAGGTGTCTCTCCTGCCTCTCCAAAGCACAAGGACTTCCTGACACCTTAGAGATCCCCACAAGATCCAGGAACTCCAGGATTGGCTTTGGAGGGTTGGATGCCACAGGAACTGGGCACTTTACCAGATAACACAGTGCTTTAGAATCACATTAAATTAAGGGTTTTTTTCAGTCTTCCCTCCTTTAGAAACACTTGGAGAAGCTCCAGAGTCTTCACAGACTCTTTAGGTGGAACAGCTCAGCTTTTTTTTATTTGAAACCAGCTCCACTTTCCCCTTTGTTGTATCAGAACAACTGCATGGATTCACATCTTCCAGTTCATCTGGATCTTTCCCAGACTGGGAGGCAGCTGGGAAACAGCTCCAAGGAGGGCAGGGATAAGACACGACCCAGGGAAGGGTTCCCTGCAGGACTCTGTGCTCCTGTGTCTGTCTAAGTGTCTCTGGATGCTGGTGTCCCCCTGCCTTGCTCCCTGGGGTGCAGGAACACTCATTTCCCAATTCCAGGTTCTCCCCCAGACTCACCGAATCCACAAGATTCTCTGTTTTATCGATCAGCAGCTCCAGCTTCTCCCCTCTTTGCGCCACGAGGTCTGGAGAAAAGAGACAAAAATCCAGATTGGAAGGTAGAATCCCAGTGCAAAAAGCTGCTTCCAACACCCAACCCCAAGCCACGAGCCCTGGGATGCAATTCCCAGCCTTCCTGGCACTGCCAGGGATTTCAGGAGCAGCCTCTCATCACACGGGCTGCGTGTGGGGACTGAATTTGGGTAAATTCCAGCTCTGTTTTGGATGGTCAGACCTGTCAAAACCCAAACTGGTGTGACACAAAGTGAAAGGGGCTCCAGGCAGCTTTTCCCAAGGGAAGCAGGTACCTATGTTCCGGACCATGATTCCTTTGAGTTCATCGATCTGGGCTTGTGTCTCTGCCACCTGGTCAGGGCCTTTGCTCTCCGAGTGGTATTTCTGCAACAGAGGACAGGCAGTGACAGCAGGACCTCAAAAAGGACAGGCAGTGACAGCAGGACCTCAACTAAGAACAGGCAGTGACAGGAGGACCTCAATAAAGAACAGTTGGTGACAGTAGGACCTCAATAAACCAACAGTCAGTGACAGCAGGAGCTCAAAAAGGACAGTCAGTGACAGGAGGACCTCAACAAAACCAGTCAGTGGTAGCAGGACCTCAACAAAAACAGTCAGTGAAAACAGGACCCTCAACGTTCCACTTCAGATCTTTAACAAAAAAAAAGGCAACTCTGGTCCCTGCAGAACAGCACAGACAGAAACAGGAGTTTTCAAACCACCCAAGGTGTTTATCAGTGGGTGGAAGACCAAAATCTGACTTTTTCAGCCATTTACAGATCCCACCTCCCCTCTGCTCCCACACTGGTGCCCAGAGGGCCCAGAAGTGACAGCCTCCTTTGGAAGTGGAAGCAACTGGCAGCAAGGAAGGGAAGTTAAGGCAGGAGGCAGGAGCTGTGGTTCCCTGTCAGGGGTCCCAGCCCCACTCCTCAGCTCAGAACTATTTCTGAAGGCAGCACACTTGGATGAGCTTCTCTAGAGCACAGCGAGGGATCCCTGCAATCCCACAGGACAGCGTGGATCCATCTCCACAGGTGGCCTCAGAGGGAGATCCAGTCAAGGTAAGGAGTGCCTGTGGACTGGGAATGTTGAAGGTGGCCAGTTGGGAGTGTCCCAACAGGAGCAGGATACAGGAGCAGCCTGGACCCAGCCAGGAGGATCTCCCAGCTCACCTGCCAAGAGCTTTGCTGCTCTCCAGCCCCTCTGGTGCGTTCCCTGTTGCACCACTCCTGTCATCCCTGCCCCTTCATTCCCTTGGGAAGTGACAGTGACTCCAGTTCCCCCAGTTGGGACCCCAGTGACCCCCTGATCCCTGCCCAGCCCGGGGGGGGGTGGGAGCAGCACAAGCCAACCCCCAGCTTAGAGGAGCCTCAGGGTTTGCAGAACCCCAGGAGGGAAACCAAGGGCATCAGGGAACCGAGTTCTGCTCTTCCTGCATGGATTTTAAGTCCCTGATCCCATCACAGCTGCTCTGCTCCATGGTCACCCACCTGGCTGCTTCAATCCCAGTTTTCTTCTGGACAGGAGTTTAACTGAAATCCATATCTGACAGAGTCCAACACTGACAGCACCCACCTGGTACCTCATGGGCACAGCACCCAATCCAACAGCTCCTCTGGAACTGCTCCAGTGGAGAGAGTTTTGGGACAAGGTGCAGACTGGCCCAGTATCAAAGCTAGTCACTGGTTGGACTGGAAGCACAGCCTCCCTTCCCAGGATTCTGTGTGTGCTCTGCCCTTGAGCTGGAGTGGGATCTCTGCCTCCCACCAGTGACAGGGATCACCTGGAAAACATCCCTGCTCCTGCACCGAGGCAATGGCAGCCAGGCTGGCAGCCTGGAGCAGGGAGGGAAGAGCTCTGTCAGCACTGAACTGCTCTTGGCTGAGGCCTGGACTCCATCCATATGCAGGAGCTGAGACAGGCAGCTCCTCTCGAGCTTTAGGGACCTGGAAAAGCTGGGATTTCAGGGGAATATCAGCTCCAAAAACCACCTGGCTCTTCCGATAAGGCAACTCATTAAACTTATTCCAGCCCCGAGCAGCTCACAAAGTGCTGAGTCAGCACTTTGTGTAGGTTCAGTCCCCACATGTCAAAGCCTGGTGGAGAAGGAAAACTCCATCCCATCACCCACAGGAAGTTCATCTCGTTTATTATGCACTGGCATTGTTGTTCCTTGCTCCCGAAACGAACTCCTGGGACTCTCCAAACCCCCTTCCCCACTCACTGTGGGCACCCACACGTGGCTCCTGTCCCAAATTCCAGGACAAACTTCAGGCAGCAGCAGCAGTGCAAGGGCAAATCCTCCCTTTACCTTCACCCACCTCAGGGTCCTGCTTCCCCCTGCACCTCAGCACAAACTGGGAGTGGGCCAGAATTCCTGCACTGAGAAACCAGAGCTTTTCCCCTCCTCCTGCACCTGCAACACCCCCAAACCTGGCACTTCCCAGAGATCAGAAGAGCCAAAGCCTCTGTGGAGAACAGCAGCACCAACACCCTCCCCAGGCACAGCAGAGCACTGAGAACTCCCACCCCACTGCCCTGGGTGGACAAGCCCTGAAAGCCAACATTCCAAGGACATCTTGGCTTTAATTCAAGGGAGATCTCAAAAAAAAAAAGCCCCACAAACAACCCCAAACCAGGTTATCGAGTTGTTTGTAGTCAATTAAGGGCTCTTAAGAGATCCAAAGCCTTTTCCTTGCAGCCCTGCAGCCCGAGGGTTTGTGCACTAATAACATTATTGATCTGCAGTCACCAAGCAGTTCTTCATTCCTTCTCCATCTTCCAGCTGGCTCCACTCATCTCACTTGCTATTATTCCCTGTAGGAATTCCCTGTCCTTCCCCCAGCCCTTGCTGGGGGTGCTGGGAGAGCAGCTCTGCAGCCCAAATCCCAGGGAAAAGCCCATTCCCTCTACAGGAAGCTCATGTTTTAAGAGCAGCCCAATCCCAAACCCAAAAAACTGCTTTAACCCCTCCCTCTCCCCCACAGAAACCCCACTGCAGCAGCACAGGGTGTTTGCAGACCCTGGTTATACAGCAAGGGAAGGCAAGTTAATTAGAAGACAATTAACTGATTGCTCTGTGAAATGCATCTGGTTCTAGGAGGGAGATGCAAACCTTCCTTCAAATGCTGCTGGGAATAAAAGAGATAAAACAACCCAATTATTTCCAACCTGTCCTGTGTGGCACCTCAAACACACAAATCCAAACCCACAGCAAGCCAAGGGCTCTCCCAAAAATGGGCTGGACATCAAGGCTCTGCCAGAGCCCAGCACACAACTCCCACGCTCCAAGAGAGAAGCAAATTCCAGCTCTACCTTTCCCTCCAGGAGTCCAAGAACAGCCCCAGAGTGGCCAAAAAAGTCCTCTGAAACCTGGGAATTTCTTTGGAAGGAGACTGACAGTGTTCTGCCTGTGCAGGATCCAGGCTGGAGCCACAGCAGGGGAGCAGCTCCCCCTGCCAGCACCACAGTGTTCCACAGACTGGGAATGCAGCATCCTGAACTTCATCCCAGCTGGGAGGGGGAAGGGATGCTCCCCTCACCCTTGTCATTTTGGGGTTGGAAGCATCCAAGGCAAATCTCAACTCAGGGACCTGCCACAGGTTATTTATCCTGCTATTGAACCTCCTTCCTTCCATTCCTCCTACGTTGGGAATGGAAACCCTCGGAGCCTCAGTGCAACTGGAGAGTTCACCACAGTCCTGCACTTGGTGTAACCCAAGCCCAGCTGTCTTTGCTCCTGAAAAGGCCACAGTGCCACCAGCAAACACCCTGTCACACTCCAGCAGCCACTGGAATTGCTGGGAAGGGAAGGGGAAGGGAAAGGGGAAAGGGGAAAAAGGGGAGAGGGAAAAGGGAGAGGGAAAAGGGAAGGGAAAGGGAAAAGGGAAAGGCAGTCAGGGATCAGCAGACACTCAAGTTCTGAAGTTGAGCAGCAAAGGAGTACCACACATTTGTCCTGCTCTCAGTGACAGCCACGTTCTCTTGCACTGGGTGGTAACTGGAACCAGCCTGGACATTTCCAGTGTTCCCATTAAGCTCTGATCTCCTGGTCCAAGCAGTTAACCCATCCCCCAGTCCCCCCCTGAACTGTGGGGTGCTGCAGGGTGAGCGTGGGGAGCACAACCCACTGCCCGGCTCCACAGCCAGTTCCCAGGGAGCAAACCCAAGGGGAATTTCTGGGAGAGGTCTGGCTTGCCAGGGAAGTGCCCTGGAGCCACAGGGCTCACCAGCTGTGCTGCCAGGACACTGGAGAACTCGCTGTTCATGGCATAGGGCAGGGCTGTCTGGGCTCGGGAGCCGTACGTGGTCTGGAACCGCTTCTTGATCTCATTCAGGAACGTGAAGGCTCGGGATCGTTCAAAGTCCTGGAAGAGAGAGCAGAGACACCAGGGATGACAACATGCACAGAGCCAGTCAGAGAGAGACTGTAACTCCCAGTTCTAACTGGTGTGTCTGTGTGTGACACTGGCATTGGGCTGGAAGAGCAGCCTGAGAGCTCTTTTATTACCACTCAGTGATCCCACTGTGAATTCTCCCTGCCTTGTTTCCAGGCTGCATTCCCAGCCTGGATATCCACAGTTCTAATTCAGTGCCTGGCACCTTCCTGCACTGAGGGAGAAGTTTTGGCTTGTCCTGGTTAGAACGGTTGGGACCAATTCATCACTGGATGGGTGTAACCCAAAACTGTGTATTCTATAGCCTTCCATGCCATTGCCCAGAAACTGTTGTCAGTAGAGGCCTGCGAGGTGGAAAGATGTTCCTGTCCTCATACCCTTTTATGGAGTTCCCCGCTCTGATACCCTTTTATGGAATTCCCCTCTTTGAGGGAGGGACTGAGCATCCTGATCCCCTTTTATGGAATTCCCCGCTCTGAGGGAGGGACTGAGCACTCCCACCTGAACTGGAGAATATAGAAACTGGGAGTTTCGGAACCTTTCCACCACTCGTGGGATCCAGAGGAAGACTGAGACCACCGCTCTCAACCAGACTGAGACCACCACCCTCGACTGGACTGCAATCACCACTTTCTGACCAGACTGCAGCAGCTCTCCCACCAGCAGGTTTTTCCCCTCTCCCTTTACTTTGGACTCGGGGGACCAAGGTACACCACTTTTGTTCATGCCCCAGGGTGCTGGGTTATACATTTGGGTTTTGTGGGTTAAAACCAATTGTCTGTCTGTATAATTGTACTTATTGCATTATTTTAATAAATTGTTATTCTGACTTATAAATCTCTCTTTTGAATTGAGTTCATTTCCCCTGCTGGTTAACTTTTAAACCAGCACATGGCTTTGGCACTTCCAGAATTGAGGAGCACCAGGCACTGACAACTGAACTGGTCCCTGCATCCCCATCCCACTGCCCTGGCACTGCTGGGAGAGGAACCAGGAAAACCAAGGACTTCACCTCAAAACTACCAACTCACAGGCAGTGGGAGGTGTCCCTGATGATTTTTAAGGTCCCTTCCAACCCAAACCATCCTGTGAGTCTACAGCTGGAGTTCCAGGCTTGGATATCAAAGCTGGAACCGATGGGAATGACAACACGAGCATTTTCCATGGGGGAAAAGGCACCTCAGACCAGCACTCACTAAAAACTGACAGCTGGACTCCCAAACCTGCTGGGAACCAAAATACTCACGTCATCTGTGATGCAGAGGTAAATAATCCTGTCCTGGCAGATGTAGTGGAACAGGTAACTGCAGAGAAGTGAAAAGAAGGAAAAAAAAAAGATCATTTGGAGCTGCCACAGGACTCATTTTCTAGAAGGCACTGCTGCCTGTGGGGCCTTCAGGGGCTGGGGAAGAAGACATCTGTGCATTCCCAAAAGCTTCCCCCCAGGAAGCACTTGGAACCTCTTACAAACTCCAGAATAAAGCAAATTAATTCTTCTGCAAAGCCTTGCCTTGTCCAGCTCCAAGGGCACAGCTCAGGAGCTCCACACTCAGGTTTTGTCTTATAACATCAAGACAAGACCAAAATAAGCTTTAGGAGTGGGCTAGAACTGCCCTGAGGGTCTGTTTCCATGAAAAGATAAAAAAAATCCTGGCATATCCACAACTCTCCTGCAAGGAGTGAGGTGCAGCTTGTCTGACACCACCTTGCAGGCTCCCCAGTGATTCCTAGAAGGATCCAAACAGCAGAGACAGAATTCTTGACGGCTGGTTTTCCTTGGAGATCATAAAAAGCACACAGAAGTTCTCCTTAAAAACAAACAGAACCCATTAAATGAGTTTGAGGAGTTCAGAGTTCCAAGAAACTGGAGTTTTTTTCCTGTTTCAGAAGAAGAGAAATTCTCTTAGAAAGGCATCAGGGAATTTTCTGGCCAGGCTGGGACTGTGGCAAGGCAGAGGATCCCTGGAACACTCCAGACAGGAGGAACAGCTCCTTGTGCTCGTTGTAGCTTCCCAGCTTTCCTGTTCTGCTCAGTTCTCTCTAAAAATGCACTACAGCCCTCCTAAAACTCAGCTTTTTAGTTGGTTGAACAGCATTTGAGGCAAAATTATTTCTTTTCACTCCCAGGAAATAACTGTATCCTTAAAAATTACAGCAGGAAAGAAAAGATGCAGCAGCCAAGGTTTGTCAGAGCCCTGGGTTTCCTCAAAAACATCTCCCACAGGGACTTGTTCGGGCTCCCAAACCAGGAAAGGATGAGGGAAGATTATCCCAATCCTCACCCTGAATCCTCAGGCAGCCAGAGCAGCTCTAACACATCAGCTTGGGCAGCAGAGAGGATCCTGCCCTGCTGCCAATCCCAAAAAAAAGGGCTGAAATGGGGCCTCTAAAGTTGTTTTTTCCACAGTTGTTTTAGTTTGTTTGCCACAGTTGTTTCTGTTTTCTCCCCAGCACACGGACTCACCTACTTCACATGTGCAATAAACCTCAGGTGATGAACCATCTAATCCCAAGGGCTGTTCAGAGAGCTGGAAAAATCCTGGGAAAACCCTTCTGGATTTGTGGCAGCTCAGGATGACTCCAATGATCTGCCAGCACCACTCCTCCTAAAGCCCCCAGGATCCACAAGCGATCCACAGTTTTACCGTGTCCAAGCTTCAGAAAAGCCAGGGAAAGATTCCATAAGCCAAACTCCAAAGGTTCCCCAGCTGGGCACGCTCCAGCTCACTTTGGAGTCGTATCAAACCAGAAAAGTTTGATTTTTTTATAACTAAAATCTAAACTTAAATCCTGGTTACGCTGCACGGGAATTTGGGACAGCAAAAAATGACAAGATTACAGGAGAACAACCCCAAACACAGGCAGTTTATTCCTGTTCTCCTGCCAGCCCCCCAGGGGGTCACTCACCTGCCATGGGAATAGGTCAGTTTGTTGTTCTCCGAGGGGATTTTGGCCAGGATCTGCTCCGTCACCTCCAGGAAGTTCCCCCCACACCAGGCGTGCTTGGCCAGGATGGTGGTGCCCCTCGCCACGACAGCAAACAGGATGGCCATGGCTTCCCACTGCTGGGAACACAAACACTGGGATGAGCTCCAGGACAGCAGGACCACGGAGTTCTCCCATCTCCCCTTTCGGGTTCTGCTGCGACGACACCAAAACTCCAATGATCTCTAGAAAATTTCTGATTGCCACCGTGGCCTGCACTCAGGGAATCCTCCCTGCCTTGTTCCCACCTGGATTTCTACCTGTTAGTGCTATTTTATTTTTTTTTCTGGCTCTTCAGCTGTTCCTCGAGTTTTTTTCTTGCTGATCCTGCAGTTTTTTCTCGTGACCGGCACGAAGGAAGTGACGGTCCCACAGCTCCTGACACAGCCCAAACCCCCCTTCCCTGCAGGGGGGCTGCCCAGGGCTGAGGCCTGAGCTCTGACTGCTCCCAAACTCCAAAATCACTGCTCAGAGTCCCACCAGAACACGGGGGGACCCTGCACACACCCAGTGGGTGCTGCCTCGAGGTTCCTGTGAGAGCAGAGCTGCTCTTCTCAGAGCAGGCGGAACTTCTGCAAACTCAGGACTTGTCCTCAGCAACACATGATTTCTCCAAGGCAACATTCCTGCCCATGGATCCAGCTGGGCAGGTCACACAGGGCACATGTGTGAGGGCCAGGAGGCTGGGAAGGAGAAGAGAGGGTTGTGTGGAGACCTCAGAGCTCCTTCCAGTACCTGAGGGGCTCCAAGGGAGCTGGAGGGGGACTGGAGTGACAGGACAAGGGGGAATGGCTTCCCACTGCCAGAGGGCAGGGTTAGGTGGGATACTGGGAGGGAATTCTTCCCTGTGAGGGTGGTGAGGGGCTGGAATGGATTTCCCAGAGAAGCTGTGGCTGCCCCATCCCTGGAAGTGTCCAAGGCCAGGTTGGACAGGGCTTGGAGCAACCTGGGTTAGTGGAAGGTGTCCCTGCCCATGGCAGGGGGTGGCACTGGATGGGTTTTAAGGTCCCTTCCAACCCAAACCATTCCATGATTCCTTAAGTCTCTCCAGAGCTGGAAAAACATCCCTGCTGGCATGGAAAGGGACACACTTAATCAGCTCAAGTATCATCACATTAATCTACCGTGAGCCCCCAGATTTGACACATGAAACCACATGTCAGAGCACAGCTGTGAGAGCTGCTCCACTCAGCCCACACACCCAATAAGCCTCTTTTCTGCCTGGGAAAGACTTAGGATGACCTTTGACCCTGCAAAACCCCAAAATCTTATTTTTCACTTTGCACTTCCCTGTTTGTTGCCTGCTTTGATTTGTGTCTAGAAATATCTGTGTCTAGAAACACCTTCACACACCTATTTCAAGGCATCCAAGGAGTTGGGGACCTCTCTAGGAAGAGGCACTGGAGAGAAGGGGTGGTTTGTCCTCAGGCTCTGAGGAGCACAGGCAGAGCCTGAGCACAGGCCAGACTTTCCATCCCCCTGGCACTGCCTGACGTGACTTATTGATCTCTTCTGGCTCAGGGGTGGGTCCTACCCAGGCCTGTCCAAGCAGATCTGCCCTGGAGAGTTGATGTTTCCACATGAACTGCTGCCCCAGTGGCAGAGGGGGTGGAGGAACACAGCAATTAATGAGATTCAGCCTTCAATTAGTGAGGTCCAACCACCCCCCACCCCAGTGGGGCTCACTCTGAGCTTCCCAGAGCCAGGCTTGGCCAGCAGCAACCAGGTGACCTCCCTCCCAAACCTCCCACAGGTTGGAGCTCAGCATTGGAAGGGGAAAGGAATAAACTCATGGATTTATTCAGAGAACAGAGTCCTCTGTTGGGTTGGAAGGGACCTTAAAGATACCATCCAGTTCTACCCCATGGCAGGGACACCTTCCACTAGCCCAGGCTGCTCCAACCTGGCCTTGGACACTTCCAGGGATTCCAGGGGCAGCCACAGTTTCTCTGCCCAACCTGTGCCAGTCCCTCCCCACCCTCCCAGCCAAGAATTCCTTCCCAATATCCCATCTAACCCTGACAGTAAATGCCAATAAAGAGAGGTGACAAACAGCCAGGTGTGGGTTTGTTCCCTCCCACAGTCCCACCGCCCTCTGACATCCAGCCTGGCAGAATTACTGAAAAAAAAATCCCAAATTCTTTTCTCTGTAAGATCTTTAAGGACAGGTCGTGCTTATCATGGTCAATTAAACATCAACATCCACCTGAAGATGGCTGTGGAGGTAACAGGACCTGGAAAAGCAAGGGAACAGCTTTCCCCTGACACACTTCCTAAGGAAACTCCTCAGCACAAAGATATCCAAGGAGAAAGAATATAAAGCAGGGAAGAAAGTGGTGATCACTCACTGCCTGCAACAAAGGTCAAGAACAGGTTCCAGCAGAGGCAAATTCTTCACACAACACATCCCCTGAAGAGTTCCCACAGGTTATCAGGGAGGAAAAGTGTTCACATGAGGCCAGAAAAAACAGTTGATGGGGGAAAAGAATCACCATCAAACAAATATCACCCTGGAGCAGAATTTATCACGAGTTTCTCCTGTTCTTCCACTCCCCCCAGCCAGAGCTACCCAGGGTCTGACTCCACACAGCCAGAACAGACAATCACTGACTCCACAAGCTCAGGACTGGTTTTTTTCCAGGGAAAAATACTTGAAGAGGAAGTAAAACCTTCAAGCAGCAAAGCAGGTGACCCCCCAAGTCAGACCCAGGGTCCAGTTGGGGTTGGGGCTCTCACAGGACTCTGCTCCTCACTGCTCTTCTCATACATGGAACAATTAAGACTTGATTAAGCCAAGGCCTGTGAAATTCCAGTGCTCCCAGTTTACAGCCAGGGCCTTCAAGGAGTTCACAAACCCACTGCCAACATCTCTTGCAACGCTGGAACTACCAAGAACATCCCACGACAGGCAGAGCCAAGCCACTGCAAAGTCTCTTAGAAAATACAGCCCCTCCCTGAGCCCACCTGCCAGAGCACTCCAGGGCTGCCCCACTACCCCAAATTCCTAATTCCTCCCAGAAATCTGCCCTGGAAGAGCTCCCAGGCTCACACTCCCAAAGCATGCAGGGGGGCTGTGCAGCCCTGAGCTCGGACATCCTGCCCCAGGAGGCCACTGCCAGCCTGGGCTTTGGGCTGGGTTTATTTTTAAGCCAGTCTTAAGTTGCTGCATCGACCACACGCTGATTGCATTAGAGCAGGAAAAGCAGAGTCCAGGGATATTTTGCTGACCTGTCAGCTCTTCAAACCAGGGGGTTGCAGACATGGGAGTGTGAGGGTCACCAAGAAGTGCTCCAAGGCAAGGCTCACCTACCCCTAGTCAAGCATGAGTAAGTTACTAATCACAAGTCCCTCCCCCTCCACAGACCTAAAGAGACCAAAAGTTCAACCTGATGCTCAAAATATTATTTAAGACAGGAGCATTTTGAGCTGAAAAAAGAGCCAAAGGGGAGATTACTCAGAGCTGACACATAAAGGAACAAGCAACTCTTTGGAACCTTCCTGCAGGAACCTCCACCTGAAGAAGCTGTTACAGAGGACAAGGCAAAAACCAGACCCAACGAGTTTACAAGGATGAAACAAAACTAAACCTCAGAAAAATCATGTTAAATGCTGCTCACAGCACGGAGAAAGGCAGAAACACAGCCAGGGAAGCTGTGGCTGCCCCAGCCCTGGAAACGTCCAAGGCCAGGTTGGAGCAACCTGGGCTAGTGGAAGGTGCTCCTGCCCAGGCAGGGGGTGGAATGAGATGGGGTTTAAGGCCCCTTCCAACCCAAACCACTCTGGGATTCTGGGATTGGGATCTGGTACAGAGCAGGGATTAACTGACACCACACAGCTGGTCCTGGTTTCTGCTGATCGGAGACAGCGGCTCCCTCCTGTCTGACCAGGCCGCAGAGAGCACATTTTCCCAGCCAAAAAGCAACAACTGTGGCCTAAAAAATAATAAGTTCAACTGTCCTGGCCTTCAGGAGAGAAGCTTAACTCACCCTCCCCCCCCATGGTAGCTTTGATTTATCCAGAGGACACAAACTGCACTTTGTTCCGGCTTCCGCTCACTCCACACCTGAGCTCTGCAGGTGCCACCAATCCCAGTTTTGCCAACAAGGAGGGACACAAGCCAGGGAATTTGTGACCAGTTACAGCAGCAGCAGCACTAAGGAACCTGAGGGAATTCCCTGCCCAGCCCTGTCCCCTCTGGATCCGCCAGGACACAGAGGCTTTGGCCAGGCCAGGCTGCATCGGGCCCATGGTGCAACACCAGGTCACAGCCTGGAACCACAAACACCACTAAGCCTCTTGAGCAATCAGGTGACTGCCCAGCACCAGGAAAGGCACATCTGCCCGCTGCAGTCACCCAGCAGGGCTGGCATAAAGGAGCAGTTGTTGGAGGAAACGCAGCCCCAGAGCCTCCCCCTGTCACACACACCACGAGAGACCTCAGGGCTGCAGAGCCCACAGAGCAAAGGGAAACCTCAACTCCCAGAGCAGAGCAGCTGAGGGATTATAAAGTGAGTTAGACAATTTCCACAGGTCTCCACTCAGTTAATATTGGATATTTGCGGGACTCACCCCAGCGAGGTGACACTCACTGTCACTGTAGGATCCCACAATCCTCAATTCCCTGGATTCCCAGTCCTCACCTTACTCAGGAGATAAACAGCCCTTTCTCTGCCATGACAAAGCCCCCAGTTAGAGCAGAAGGGCCTAAATGAAGTAGAACAGATGAACAAGGAGCATTTTTCTCCCTGAGCAGCATCTCCCCAGCCCTGTAACACTCGTGTCACTCCTGTTAGTCACACAAACCTGACAGAGACATCCCTCCCTAGTGGTTACAAAATTCAGGAATGAAATCCATTAAAATCCACCCCTTTGCAGAACTGTTTTCTGTCTAAACTCACTATATTAAATGGCTGGAAGTAGCCAAGACCAAACCTTCCTAAAAGAAAAACTCACTCGGGAGATACCAGGTGGGCCTGGCATGGAAAGGCTCCAAATGAGGAGGGAAGGGAGAAAAAGGCTGCATCCCTCAGCCCCCCAGAAAACACCACGGATCCAAAGAGCCCCTCAGCAGGGCCAGGAGGGATTGGCAGCTCTCAGGGATGGAGCACAAAGGTGAGTCAAGAACCACAGACTCCCAGACTGGTTTGGGTTGGAAGGGACCTTAAAACCCATCTCATTCCACCCCTACCATGGGCAGGGGCACCTCCCACTAGCTCAGGTTGCTCCAAGCCCCGTCCAACCTGGCCTTGGACACTTCCAGGGATGGGGCAGCCACAGTTTCTTTGGGAAATCCATTCCAGCCCCTCCCCACCCTCCCAGGGAAGAATTCCTTCCTACTGTAAGGGCACAGAAAAACAAGAACATCAGAAACACGGGGTCAGTCTCCAGTGCCCGTGGGGTCGATCTCTTGTTTTCAAGTGCCTCTCCTGGCCCAGAAGATTCCCCGCCTGTGCCAGGAGGGCACTGCCTGCATTTCCAGAAATCCTCTTACAGAAAGCAAAGGGCACCACGCTGGTGCCGGTTTTAAGCCTGAAAGGGAGGTGTTGCAACCCTGAGAGTTGCAAACTGCCCGAGTGCAATAAAGGAGCCGTTTGAGCACGGTGAGCTCAGCAGAAACCGGCCCAGGCTTCCCTTCCGCCTCTCCTGGGCAGCTGGAAGTGGTTATTTCCTTAAAGGAATAGTCCCTCTCGCTGTTCTGCTCATTTTAAGCCCAAGAAACGTGACATTTGTGCCCAAGCTTATATCCCAAGTTCTGCACACAGAGTTTACTTCGGGCTCCCTCGCTGCATCCGTACGGAAAGAAACGAGTCCAGTTTCATTTTCCAGGCCCGGAAACGAAACCTTTCCTGGAAGGTTTGGAAAGGGATAAAGACACAGAACACGATGGCAACTGAACGAGCAGCTCTCTGGAGAGGTAACACAGACCCCCCCCAAAGCAGGGAATGGGAATCAGGGAATCGCTGGGGTTGGAAAAGCCCTCCAAGTGGTGCCAGCACAACTGGGATTATCCGTCGATTAATTCAATAATTTAACCACCCAGTGGAACATCCCTGACACACTCTGCTCCCAGTCACACCAGTAACACCA